AGCGAATGTTGCATAGGTCCCATCCCCCCATGTTCACCCCATTTGACCCTCCTACATGTGTAATTAGGGTCAAAAGGAAATGGGGGTGATAGTGGATAACTGCCGCCTAATATGCTGTTGCATTTGCTTAATAAAAGCTCACCCTTAAGTGTAATAATTATTTGTGAAATGTGTCAGTAGTAGCGAGTGGATGGCAATGCTAGGAGATAATGCTGCAGTGTAAACAACAACTAAATGCTGGTAACTGGAGAACAAATTTATTGTTAGGTGAACTACAGCTATAAAAGTGTGCACATTTTTGGGTACATAATTACGCTTGACAGCTATTGTTTGTAACAGTGAAGTGCAAACATAATCACTGAAATAGAAAATTACAAGTAGCAATGTCATTAAGGATGCAGTTCATGAGAATTACTAAGGGCCTGTTTACATGGAGGTAGGGGACCCCAGATAGGTGAGGTCACTTGTGACAGGTCACCCCACCTACCATGTAAACGTGATCAAATTAAAATGAGAGGTTATATGGACAGACGGGTTACCCCACCTGAGTGTTACACAGGATATAAACACTGCTTGAGAATATTCCACGTGTATTTTGCTCATATATTTCCTTAACTTTTACAACTCTCGGGTTCCTAACGCCGATTACTTTTCTTGCTTTTCTCGCACATGGTTTTTTCTTACCTCATCAAAACGTCATATATGGTTTCCAGTCCTTGGGCGCACGGACGCCTGGCACTAAATACAAATGCTTTTAACAATGAAATTTCTATGCCTAACACTCCTCCCTAACTTAAAAAAGAAATGCCATCCGTGACATTTGGTATGTAATACAGAACAGTCCCTTTTACAACAGTAGTTTGCGGTTTTGGATTTCTTGCTTGTTAAATCCTGGAGTGGGGTGATCAGGCCCAGCTCCTTACAGACCACTTAATTTACGTCTTAGCTAGTCTGTCCATACTAATGTTCACGATTCTGTAATACGACGACTATCTCAAGATAGCGTTTACAGCATCCACACAACGAATGTTTAAATACACCAAGGAAATCTCTTTTGTTTTTTTGTTTGTTTGTTTTTTTTTTACAAGGTAAAGGACAAAAAAAAAGTCACTGTTTATCTGTACTGAAACAAATGATAAGGCGCTCACTACTGTGGCAACTGTGGTCCTGCTGGATAGGGCATCATGTAAGGCAACATCATGTTCGGGTTCCGGGACATCATAGGTGGTACCGGTGGAGGAATATAGCTCAAGACTGGTGGCAGCGTACTGTACTGGTCCGCTGGAAGTTCGGGAATGTAGGGCTCTGGTGATGTCTGCATTCCACACTGCTGTATCCCTCCGGATGGGTTAACATTGATAGGCCGCACATAGAGTTGGCGCCCCAGGACTGTCATAAGTGAGTCGTTTAGTACCTGCCTCACACGTTTGGGTCGACCTGAGTTGTTGGTATCCTCGCGATTGTCCACCTCCCCACTGACTACTTGAGGGTCTTCATTCAACTGTGCCTCATCAGGAGTGTCAGCAATGTTAGCTCCCGTGCGCATTTCACTTGACACCTCACCTGAATGCACATGTGTGAAGTCTGGTTCTTCTCCCACCGTTTCCTTGCTTGTAGACTGTACCTGCATCTGCATTTGGACATTTTCTGGTGAATGGTTACAGTATGAAATGGCTGGAAGATCATCATCGCGGTCACTTTCGTGGCTGTCATCTTCATGTCTTAATGGCTGGATTTCATGACAATGGTAGGGTGTTGGTGGTCTTGTCCTCTTTATAGGAGGGGGGTCTTCCCATGGTTTCCTTGGCAGATAATCACAAGGAAGTAAGAGGTTTCGATGTAGAGTACGGGTTGGTCCTTGACTTGATTCTGGTCTCACAACATACACTGGGCTTCCCTCGCCCTTTCTCGCAACGACTACATGAATCTTATCTTGCCAAAAGGAACGGAGTTTTCCGGGTCCACCACGAGGAGTAAGGTTGCGCACCAGGACACGGTCTCCCACTTGCAGCGCTGGTGATCTCATTCGTTTGTCATAATTTCTTTTCCCTCTCATGGCACTCTTCGTAGCAGACTTGGACGCGAGTGAGTAAGCTTCTTGCATCGCAGATTTCCACTTGGTAACATACTCCGCATGTGACTTGGCTTCAGTTTCAGCTTCGAGATCAAAGATTACATCAATTGGTAGACGAGGACTCCGACCAAACAGAAAAAAAAGAGAATAACCTGTTGACTCGTGAAAAGTGCAATTGTATGCACGAATGAGTTTGTGTACATGGTTCTTCCAGCCAGGTTTGTGAGCTTCAGGGAGGGTTCGCAGCATACTGAGTAGTGTACGGTTCATCCTTTCCACCAAACCATTTCCTTGTGGGTGATATGGAGTAGTCCGAGAGCGCATTACTCCAGACAGTTCTTCAAGCCTCTTGAACAACCGGTTTTCAAACTCGCCTCCCATGTCATGATGGATCCTCTCAGGGAATCCAAAGCGAGAGATAAAGTCATTGAAGATCTTGTCGGCAGCCGTAATTGCGGTCTTATTCCTCGTCGGGTATGCTTGAGCAAATTTAGTGAACTGATCTACAACAACCAGTATGTATTCATAGCCCCCTGAACTCAGGTCTAGGTGCACAAAGTCAATAGAAACCAATTGGAAAGGAGCCGCTGTGATGATAGCCTGTAATGGTTCCCTAGTTGTTAAATTAGGACGACTCTGTTTCAGACAACAGCATGTGTGATGGATGACGTTTTCTATATCTCTTCTCATGTGTGGCCAATAAAATCTTTCTCGGGCTAGTGCTAGTACTCTCTCAACACCGAGGTGGCCCATTTCGTCATGGAGTTCACGGTAAACAGTGCGACGAAATTTCTGCGGAAGAACTACCTGCTGGTTGCGATAAAGTAATCCACTCTTCCTGTTTACATGGAGTTTATACCACTCGTTTAGGAGCTTAAGAGCCAAAGGTGGTTCCTTGTGCTTTTCTGCAACCGTCGGTTTGTGGTTTGTCTTGATGAACTTAAGGACACGCTCAATGTGGGGATCTTCTCTCTGTGCTTTCACTAAATCTACCACCGTTAATTGATTGCAGGCTGTTGTGACAAAAAGTCAACCTGATAGAGTTCCTCTTCTTCATCAGTCTGGGCCGTTAGCCAAGTTGAGTCTCCATTCGACAATGTCTGAATTGCAGAGATTGAGGCATTCAAGCTTTCATGGGGTACTCTCTCAGTACAACTGTCCATGTACGTCTTAAAGTCACTGGGCAATCGGGAAAGGCTATCGGCATCAACGTTCAACTTGCCTGGTCGATACCGTATTTCGAAGTTGAAGTCAGCAAGCTCTCCAACCCACCTCAATCCTGTGGCATTTAACTTGGAAGACGTTAAAAAATACGTTAACGGGTTGTTTTCCGTATGTACCACAAATTCAGGGGCATAATAGAGATAGTCCCTAAACTGTTCTGTCACTGCCCATCTTAGAGCTAAGAATTCTAACTTTCCCGAATGCATATGGTAGTTGCGCTCAGATGAGGTGAGAGTCGTAGATGCATACACGATAACTCTTGTACAGCCATTCTGTTTCTGGTAGAGGACAGCTCCCAGGCTATCCTGTGATGCATCGGTGTGTACAATAAATGGGGCATTATAATCTGGATATGCCAACAGAGGGGTGATGTTACTTTATCTACTAGGGCATCTAGTGCAGACTGGTGTTGGGGTCCCCAGTCCACTGGTGACGAAGGTGGTAGCTGTCCACTACATAGCGTGGTGTTCTGTCTGGTCGAAGAAGCATTCTTCTTCCCCGGCAGGTCATGGTTGAGAAGGTCATAAATGGGCCTTGCTATTTGTGCAAAGTTTTTGACATGGCGACGGTACACACCAAGTAGGCCCATAAATCGTCTTACTTCCCCAGCAGTTCGCGGTTGTAAATTCTTCATCGCAGTCACAGCATTTGTTGCTTTGGGATCTATTTGATACCCGTCTTGAGAGATAACTCTTCCCAGGAAAGACACTTCCCGTTTGAATAATGAACCCTTTCTAGGCTTGAGCTTTACACCATAACTTTTCAACCGGCAAAGAACTTTACGAAGATGTTCAATGTGTTCAGAAAATGTCTCTGAGAATACGATCACATCGTCCAAGTAAGGAATGCACATCTCATCACGCAACTCTCCAAGACAATTCTCCATAAATTTTTGAAAATTCGCTGGCGCATTCATAAGACCGAAGGGTATCCGCACCCATTCGTATAATCCCCAAGGTGTAACAAAGGCAGTAAGTGACTGACTTTCCTTCCCAACAAAACCCTAATGATAGGCCTTTCCCTGATCCAAAACACTAAACCAGGACTTGCCCCCTAGACTGTCTAATGCTTCTTGGATCCGAGGAATGGGTAGCCGATCAGGCACCGTCTTCTTATTTAATTCTCTGTAGTCTATGCATAACCTTATTGCACCATCTTTCTTGCGAACTTGGACTTCCGGATAAAGCCTCGGTTGAGTAAGTCCTCGATATAACCTTTAACTTTCCGTGTAGAGTGGACGGGGTATGGAAATGTAATTCTTCTGCACTGGCTGATCGCCAGTGAATCCAATGTCCATCTCTAGTTCGGGAACGCAGCCAACGTCATCATCACTCATTGCGAATGCATCTGCTTCTTCAACCAACAACTGCTTTGCCTGCTCCTTTTGTTCTGCCGTCAGTCCACTCAAATCAACTTCAGGTAACCAAGACAAGTTGCTCTGAATTCGCTCGGCAGGTGCGTCTTGTTTACAGGGAGGTCTCTCACATGGAGTTGCTGTCTCCGCATCCTTAAACCTGACTTCAACAGGAGTCACTGATCGTACAACCTGAAGGCGCCCCAAAACAACTCTTCCAGGTAGGGTGATGTTGTGGTTAGTGTTGTTGGTCACTGTAACTGGTAGAATGGTTGCATTGCCCTCCTTCGCAGTGGTAAGGGATTCGTGTACAGCTAATCCTGAAGGCCAAGTAGCCAGCTCATCAGGCTAAAAAAGGACAGGCGTCTTACGGTGGATTGGTCCAGTGTTAGCACGACACGGTAGGTGAACAGTCTGCCCCGCAGGGAGAATCTGTGGCTTCTTTGAAGATTTAACTTGACAAAGTTTATCAAAATTAGACGTACGTATAAGGCTAATCAATACTTGTCTCTCACCGCTTTTGCTCAGTTTGAAGCTTTTCGACATCCTGTTAAGCAGAACATCATCATTTTTCTCTTCAGTGTTCCTGACCATTAGTTTTATAATATTAAAACCAATGATAGGTTGGTCAATGATCTCCCTTGTTATTAAGAATGGAACTCTTACTTCCGTCTCCTTTTCATTTGCTAGCCGTACGCCAATCTCTGCCCACCCACAGTAAGGAATATCTGTTCCATTTGCTGCTTGCAAGCTTATGGATCCATTTGTGCCAAGTAACTGTTCAATATCCCTTATTTGGACTGCTGATAGTTGGCTCTTCAGAAAGTCTGCTAAAACAATGGATACTTGGGCCCCTGCGTACCATAAAGCTTCTGAAGGCTTCTCGTCCAGGTAGCACTTCACTGAACACTTCTTTCCCATCAGTTTGGCTATGCGCTCCTGTTGTCTGGGTGAAATGTGGCTAGCATACACACCACTATCTCGGGCATCTCCTAATCCCTTTTCTTTAAAAGATCCTCTCTAAGAGAGTTCCTTGATTGCTTTGCACAACACTTTGTGTTTTGGCCAATGGGCCTACTGACAACGAACAGAACAATACCGAACAGACTGGCACCCTGAACACTGTAATAATTGTGTGTGACAATCAAACTTCAGGCAACCACTACACTGGTGGGACTTCTCTTCATCTGGTCAGGCTACTCCCTGTCCCGCGGGGGTAGCCTGGGTGCGTTTCCCGGATAATTTCTGGACCTTGACTGACAGTAGCGTGCAATATGGTACAAGCCACCGCAGAGGTAGCAATGTGGGCATCGGTCACCTTCCCTCTTCCTCCTACACTCTTGGCAACCAAGTGGCCTTGCGCCAGTTCTCACTCCATTTCCAGCATGACTAGGCATCATAGGGTCTGCCTTCTGGTTGCTTGCTGCTTCACGCAGGTTTTTAACTTCTGCCTTCATGGTAGCCAGCTCTGCTTGCAAAGCTTTAAGTGTAGCTAGAACCTGCTGGTCTTTCTGTAGCTCTTTCTTTGTATTTGATTCAGCTGCACTTTCGATAGCGGACACCTTTACAGATTTCCCCTTGCTGGTAAGATTGAACTTATTACTTCGCTCTGCTTCTGCAGATATGGCTAGGCTCAAAGCTCCAATGAGGTCTTCATCTACGACCTTTAGGTTCTGAGTGAGTGGCCTTATTTTTGCACGAATGGTTTCGTCAGCGAGACCTGTTTCCACGGCATGCAGGAGCAAACTTTGTACTGAAGAGGCGTCATACTTAATCCCACTATCCGACTCTTTTGAAGCACTAATAATCTTCTGTCTAACGGTTAGTGCTATCATCAAAAATGACTGAGGATCTTCATCAGGCTGCTGGGCAATATTTGTTAAAAGCTGATAAAGTTCTGTGGCATTTCTTTCATGAAAATGGAAGCGAAGAATTTTACGCAACCTTGGTAGGGTGAGGTCAACCATGGTCTCTAAATAGCTTCTAAGTTGTAGACCTGGCTGAACAGCACGAACTACGGCACTAACTACTGCTTTATCGGAGTATCCCTTGGTAAGCCCTGCTTCTATTTGTGATATTAGGGCTTGGTAACCCAGCTTTTCTTTGTGACCGGGGTCGCCTACCACTCCCTGTATTTTAAAATCTCTACGGAATATGCTCTGCTCAACCCCCTTTAGGGGAAACTTGATTGTCTCTTCTTCCTTTACTGTGCCAGTCAGCTTTTCCTTCTGCATTTTGGCTAGTTTCTCCTCCACTAATTGCTGCTTAGATTCTAAATCACCTAGTTCTTGTTTGAGCTTCTTTAGGTCGCTTTTGTTTTGTAATCCTTCTTGCCCATACTTATCTTCCATTCCCTCGAGTGGCGGAGGGCCCAAGTGTGCCATTAACCCGTCAACATAATCAATTTGGTCATCGCCGGTCAGAGCATAAACTGAATCCTCAATTTTGCGCCTGATGGACCGAATAACACTTAATTTCCCCTTGCCCTCCACTACCGACTTTTCCACTTTAGCTTGCAAAGCAAATTCACTTAAAGCGCTTAAGTCCATCGACAACATTTTCTTGTCTAAGGGCCTCTTCATATGAGCCCGGTTGACCGGGCTGGCCCGGTTTCCGAGATCTCCCCTCACCTCTAAATCCTTTGTAAAATTTTCGTTGTGTTCATATGGGAGGGCGGGCTGGCTCGGTTCCCGAGATCTCGGTTTTTCCAACCGAGATCTCGGTAAGCGGGCTGGAAATTTTGCCATATGAACACTTCATCCCGGTTACCGGGATGAACGGCGGGATGAATTCTGGCGGTCCGGATGGCATCGTCTTACATTGCCTGCTGTATTTTCCACATCATAAGCATTCCATTTAACTGCAGTGATACAGCTTTAAGAGTTACCGATGCTAAGATAGGCCCGAAAGTTAAAACGTTTGTGTTTCGCTATGTTTGCTTTGTTTCCCAAATTTGGCGCCAGATCGCCAGCCCGGTCAACCGGGCTCATGTGAAGAGGCCTTAAAAGAATGAGGCTTTCCTCCGCCATCTTGCGTCTAATTAACACGATCACAAAACCCACATAGCATCCAACAAAACAACATTCATACCTTTCCTGGCCTCAAAGCTGTGTTCCACTATCTCTTGACTAACTGTTCACACCAAATGTCTGCCTAAGCTACAAACCACTGTTTCCTGCTCGCCAAATCAAGACCAAAATGAATATCTTGGACGGCGATCCACACAAATCCTAGCACACAACGTTCGTCGACCATTGAAACTTGTACTGCATCTAATTCCTTCGTTAAATCCTCCCGGACAGGCCCCCAAAATGTTACACAGGATATAAACACTGCTTGAGAATATTCCACGTGTATTTTGCTCATATATTTCCTTAACTTTTACAACTCTCGAGTTCGTAACGCCGATTACTTTTTTTGCTTTTCTCGCACATGGTTTTTCTTACGTCATCAAAACGTCATATATGGTTTCCAGTCCTTAGGCGCACAGACGCCTGGCAACAGCGAAGGGAATTAACGTTCCTGGCATGGCAACCATGTCACACACTAATATTTTGAGGATATCCGAAATACAGATGTTATTTTCGAATAATTTAGGAACGAAAATATAGGGGGCCAGCAATAACAGATTTTTTTCATGTTTGACTTAAAAGACACAGCTGTGTTTGTGTATAAGGCTGCTATACATACATATATTTTACTTGTGAAGGAAATTGAATTAAACGGAAAATTTTGTTCAGTAAGGATTTTGTTTACAAAATGTAACGCTTCCCTATCTACATGTCACACATTATCGGTGTTCTAAACTGTTCATTGTAAAATAAAGCTTACTGTAAAACGGTGAAAAGGCTGATCGGCTGTCCTCAGTCCGTTGGAAAAGATACTCCTCGTGTCGATTTTACAGATGCTGTAATTCCTGCTCCCTATCGTTGCGTCGAAGAAGATAATTTTGACTGTAAACTTGCCTCTCTTCGGTTTCGTTGCGAAATTCTATTGACCGAATTTTGCTGAAACGTCGGCAGTCGGTGTTCCCTGTCTTCGTCGGCTTCGTTTGCAGTGTAACTGTAGTATTTTGTTAGCCTCTGTCTCTAGTTGACAGTGTTTGCCTTCGCTGTGCCGTGTAAAGTCGACGTTCTCGCTCGATCTTGCGGAGTTTTGTTTGTAAATCTTTCCCAGCGAGGATTTCCGGCCACTTGTTGAATCCACCGTTGTTGAATTTGCTGTTCTCTACGGTGGCCCGTAAGGGACATTACAATTTTTTTTTTGCTTAAGTTATCGCTCGACAAGTTAAAATTATCGCGCGATGAAATGAACAGTTATCGCGCGATAAATAAGAAAATTATCGCGCGATAAATTTGCAACATATCACATGATAAAGAGAAGCCTGACTCACGCTTTCCACCCACGTGTTTATAGCCTTTAATTCTCAGAGTTTAGCTTTTAAAAGTATATCTTTGAGAGACCTTCCTCGTTTGTACGATACAACTGGAGGTTCTTTGTAGATCTGTCTAAGAAGAGGTTGGTTCTCTATCAGTTGCCAGTGTTTCATAAGAATGTTTTTAAGGCTCTGAAGGCTCAGCGTGAAGGCTAGCAACTCAAATTTCAAAGAACGCTTGATTGACAGAGGCTACCCACAAACTATGAGAGAACCTTCTATCAGATATAAAGTGCACAGAGAGGGAGTCTGCACTCCTGAAACACAACAACAAAGAGGAAAAAGAAATATTGCCTTTCGTGACACAGTACCAGACCTCAGTGTCTACTTTAAAAGAAGTTTTAATGAAAAACTGGAATCCTATACAAAACCAACCGTTACTTCGTTAGAGCTAAAATATGAAAGGTTAACACAAGGTTTCACGCCGTATGGATGTGCGGCCTGTCACCGCTTGCATTTTCGCGAGTTAACCTTTAATTATTGCGCATGCTAATCCGCCGGAGAACTCAGTCCTTTTCTGTAAATACATAACAAGAACATAACCTTTATTCACTTCACTTAACTAAAGGGACCACTGTTGGACAATGAAATACTTTAAACTTGAAGCTAAGAAGTAACCTGGCTTGATACTCACTGTATAGTTTTGAAACGAGAGATAATTGATTACATATATATAGCAATTGTAAATCTTAATTACTCCCCTTTTCGTTCAGGATTAAAATGCTGTAATCCTTGCTTGGAAATCTAGCTTGGCAACTCAAATGAACCCTATTAAGCTGGCTCAAAAGTTAGACTATAACTCCTTCTTAGTATGATAAAGAAAGGGTCAACATTAAGATAATGCATGCATACAAGCATGCAACGTTCCAGCTTCTCTTTTTCATGTGAAATGTTGCAATTTATCGCGCGATAAACTGAATAATTATCGCGCGATAATTCAAACCAGGGGGGGCTGGCAACGGCCTTTGATCTTGCCGCTTTTCGGCTTTCCATGATCGCCCCAGTTGAGAAATCTGTCAATCATTCGAGAACTGTAGCGAGCATGCGCGAAACGGGCTGAGAACAACAACAATTAAACAACAACAACATCAAGAAGTTCGTCTTCGCAGCGATTCGACAGTGTGAAGTGAATTCGCTTTTGGTCCTGTTGGTCATTGCTTTCTTTGCTGTAACCGATTTTTTTCGCAGTAATGTGGGGCTTACGTTTTCCTTTTTTCTGGTCTTGCGTTTGTCATCACATGCGGTTTAAGAACGAGACCAGTGAAGAGTCATTGTACATGTACATGTTCCTCGATGCCCGACCTTTTGGCTCACTACGGGCTTTCAAGCTGTGTTTCTGTTTATTAGAAGACCCACAAGACTAGAAAAAGGGCCAACCCTCCAATGCGTATGAAGAAGAGTTTATATTTTCAAGTGAAAGGCCGAAAATTAATCCTTCGTGACATTGTTGAGGCCTCAAATGTAATAAATGACCCTAAATGTAATA